CTGATGTGGATTATCATTGCATCAAAGGAGGTTCAACTCCCATACAACACATACTACCCAATGAATACCGGAAGCTTGCCACACACTTAAGAAGGATGTCGCTTATTTTTACAGAACAACTTTCTACATCAGATGGTAATACTATGTTAACCCTATTCGATTTAATGGTTTATCAGAATTCCCCACAGGTTGGACGTGAACCTGCTTGGTTCAATCGGCTACAAACCTTATTAACTGTTAATATCACCTCAAGAGAACTGCGACAAAAAACGCCACATATTAAAAACTATTACTTTAACTTTTCTCCTCCAGTAAAAATAGCTAGAACCAACCCTTACGTACTTGGTTGAAATTTAGGTGACAATCAACACTTTATTGGCAAACTTCTTAAAATAAGTACCAACTTGGCAAATGTTATGCATGTCATATCTACTTTAAGCACAAGTCATAGAACTATACTTACACCCTGTAACAGGTGTATTTATCACAATCCTTGTACCAAAATACCACCACAGACAAAAAATAGTGATAATTGCTGTTTCTTTACTTTTCCTAGAGATCTTTGTTTTTTTATCCTTACACTTCGTAATAATAGTATTGAAAGGTTTCCTTGGTGTTCATGGTCACGAAATCTTATTCATGATCTCGCTTCTACTTTCATCAATCAACGTAATAATCCTCACCTTCGTATTTCTGCTACCCCTTTATTCCTTTAATTCCTCCTTCTTTTATTGAACGTTTTATTCCTTCATCAAACTCTGCAACTCTTTTAACACTTAGATCAAATTTTAGTTTGTCTACTAACTTAGAATTTTATACAGACGGCTCTCTCATTTTTCTTGGCTACCCTGCACTAAGAATGGGTTTGGCTTGGTTACAAACGGCACCTTCTGCTCCATTGTTATCATATTCATCTGCATTAGTAACTTCGTTCCCTCATCATCTACTGCGGAATTAGCAGCTGTCTTCACTGCAATTTTAGTCGCACCACCAAATTGTCAAATCAAAATATACACAGACTCTAG